GTATCAACGGTTGTTTTACGCTAAGCTGTAAGTAGTATCAACGGTTGTTTTACGCTAAGCTGTAAGTACTATCAATGGTTGTTTTACGCTAAGCTGTAAGTACTATCAATGGTTGTTTTACGCTAAGCTGTAAGTACTATCAATGGTTGTTTCACACCAAGTGGAAAGTAGTTTCGATGGTTGTTTCACACCAAGTGGAAAGTAGTGTCAATGGTTGTTTCACACCAAGTGGAAAGTAGTGTCAATGGTTGTTTCACACCAAGCTGTAAATAGTGTCAATGGTTGTTTCACACCAAGCTGTAAATAGTGTCGATGGTTGTTTCACACCAAGCAGTAAATAGTGTCATGGTTGTTTCACACCAAGCAGTAAATAGTGTCATGGTTGTTTCACACCAAGCAGTAAATAGTGTCATGGTTGTTTCACACCAAGCAGTAAATAGTGTCAAGGTTGTTTCACACCAAGCTGAAAGTAGCGTGAATTGTTGTTTCACACCAAGCTGAAAGTAGCGTGAATTGTTGTTTCACACCAAGCTGAAAGTAGTGTCAAAGGTTGTTTCACACCAAGCTGAAAGTAGTGTCAAAGGTTGTTTCACACCAAGCTGTAAGTAGTGTCAAAGGTTGTTTCACACCAAGCTGTAAGTAGTGTCAAAGGTTGTTTCACACCAAGCTGTAAGTAGTGTCAAAGGTTGTTTCACACCAAGCTGTAAGTAGTGTCAAAGGTTGTTTCACACCAAGCTGTAAGTAGTGTCAAAGGTTGTTTCATACCAAGCTGTAAGTAGTGTCAAAGGTTGTTTCACACCAAGCTGTAAGTAGTGTCAACGGTTTTTTTCACACCAAGGTGAATGTAGTGTCAACGGTTGTTTTACACCAAGTTGTAAGTAGTGTCAATGGTTGTTTTATGCTTGTCTTGTTTGCTTATGTTGTACCTGTTTGGTTTTGTTGAGATATGTGCATTATTATTTTGATTGAAATAGGTTTCCATGACTCCCTGGGCCAATTACACTTTCCGGGTGATTGCTCGAAATAAAATTGGACCAAGCCTTCCAAGTGGTTCATCTCAGCGTTGTACTACTCCTGCAGATGTACCATTCAAAAACCCTGACAAAGTGATGAGCCATGGTACCAATAAACATAACTTAGTTATATCTTGGACGGTAAGTATTTCTTGAGATAGATACTAAGACTTCCATATATGTGATATACTATTTCACATTATTCTTAAAGTAAAGAACATGAACCAGGTGTATCTTGGATACTAACTTGAAATGTGAAGTATTCATAGCTAATTTGTGGGTCTTCAAATAGGTTATTTAAACAGTATGCATCATGAGTGAGAGAAAATGTCATTCAAAACCCTGAATCATAATGTAACTCCCACTTTTACAAAAAATGTCTTTCAAAATCTTGAGTCATAATCTAACTTCCACTTTTACAGAAAATGTCCTTCAAAACCCTGAATCATAATCTAACTCCTACATTTACAGAAAATGTGCTTCCAATATGGTACATTACCTCTGCTCACATAAATAGCTATTCTTGTTCAGTGCTACATTCTATATGCAAAAAAAACATTACGCATGCCACAAGCCTTCTGTCTCCCCTCCATTGGAGTTGACAGATTCAAATGCATCTCTCATGCGAATCATCATGTGTCAACCTTCCACCAATAAGTATGACATACTCTCATGACGCATGTGGTTCCCTCTTTTCAATTCTATGGAACTGTCACTTCACATTTGGCAGTACTTTTGTTTGATTTACATATTTCTCCAATGAATTTTGAGGTTCATGTTCCCACTTCAGGTGTTATACCTCAAGCACTACTTTCACAAGCTGCAGGTGAGGGAGCCCTGTTGTTGGATTTCTCTGTTAATATCCATTGTGAGATTGATTATTGTATGGGTTAACCTTCATTCTCCTGAACAAGTTGAACCTATTCAGGCCAATGATGATTTGATAGCCTTTTTACAAAACCAGATTTTGCAATGTTTTTCCCTACCCCCTCCCATGGAATCAGCTAGGCATAATACGTCATTTTTTTAACATGATTTCTCAGGTATTTTATATTCTATGTAATTCCCCACTTTTCTCTGATTCCTTATTACATCCATGTGGGCTCTTTTGTCATATTTGGCTCTTGCTTTACATCACTGTAGTTGGATTTTCTGGGTTGCAATGTGACCTTGTCCTGTGTACACTTGCTGCCTCTCTGTTTTGGGGATTTCTCTATTTTCTTTGGTGATCTGTCTTCGATCATGTACCTAAGACTTTGAAATCTTGTGTGTAATCTGTGTATCAACACACGACCTCTTCCTCTTTGGTTGTATGTTTGTCGGAGTTGGTGCTATGACGTGCCCCTATTCTTTTCCCATCCTGGTCCTTATATACCCACCCCTGTCGCACTTCCAGGTGTTTGTCATCTCATCATTTTATTCAACGTTGATGGGCATGTCACCAACAGTACCAGGAGCTTGACTATATTATATTGTTACTCTTTGGTGATCTTTTACTTCAGTTCAATGGGTTCTTTGGGTTTTATCAGAAGACTTGTCCTTTTATTTATTTCCCCACCTCCTTTGTCCCTGGTACACTTTTCGTTCCCCAAGACTTGGAATCCTTCCACCAGCCTGTGTCTGTCTGAGATAGTACAGGGTTTTCTGTCTCTACAGATTGTTGCACCTGTTTATCATTTTTCTCCAAGCTTTTATTCCAGTCTGTCTATTATCTTCTCTCCAAACTGGAGACTGGTGGCCTATACTGGGTTTTCTCATTCTAATTCTCCATCTGTGCAGTTTTACTTGGTAGTCATTTCTGACCCTTAGGTGAACTTTTTCTCTCAGTTTATTGATGACAGAGGAATGTCATGAATGCTTATTTGCATACCCTGACATTTCATCTCTCGTGAACCTCTCTGTGGTTTATTATCCATGGAGTGGTTTCTCTGTTTCCTGTGCTTCCCTTCAGATTTCCCTCGGCCCTGTACATTTTGTCAGGCTTTCAGAGCATTAATTTGTTCTTATGTGCTCTCAGGCTGTGCTTTCTTCTTGCTTTGGTCAACTGCCTATAGTTTGATTGTTCCAAACAAGAGTCTGCCTGTTACACTTATCAGCTGCTTCTGGAGGTGGCTATATGGGCTGTTAATGAAGTTGGAGAAGTCCTTACTGAAACCTTTCCCATATCTTTTACGTATCTGTTACAATTTGTGAAGTTCTATCACTTTTGAGAATGTGATCTTCCATGGTAGTTGGCTGTTATTACACTTCTTCCTACCCTTGTTGACTTGCACATTGGCAGGTGTCACGCTTCCTCCTCCGGTTTTCCACATTTCATGGAAGCATCCATTTGGGGATGGGTTGATCAACAGGAAGATTTGGGAGTTTTTGCCTGCAGCCGTGAGGTTTTATCCCATTAATGTTATGAAGTTTCTTGCTGTAGGTTGTGCTTTGGTTTATTTTCTCCAACTGGCCAGAAATCATCTGGTAGTGATCCATTCTGACTGTTCTTCAATGGTTGGTCATCTCAATCACCAGGGTGGCACCCATTCTTGATCCCTCAGTATTCATACATTGGATCTTCTTTTTTGGGCCCACATCTTAGATATTCATATCATTGTGTGTCATGTTCCAGGTGCTTTCAATTTTGTCACAGATTGGCTTTCTCATTCAGAAAAAGTTGTCTTTCGATCCTCTTGTTTTCCATTGGCTTTGCTTTCAGTGAGGTTACTCCTCACATCAATGCTTTTGCCATGTCCCTCAACCACAAATTGCATTTGTTTTGGTCTCCGATCCCTTATCCTCTTGCTCTGGCTATTGATGCTTTCAGCCAGGACTGGACCAATAAATATTTCTATGTCTATCCTCCCATTCGACTTCTTCATCGGCTGATTTCAGTCATCCATGTCAAGTCCTTCTGATTGCTTCTTACTGGCTGGCTCAGCCATGGTTTCCACGTCTTCTTCAGCTCCAATTTACTCCTCTATTACCTTTTCGTCAACTTCAGTTACCAATGGATCATCCAGCCTTTCCTGTCCTCAGTCTTTACACCTAGTTTTTATCTGATCTTTGGCAAGGAGATCCAGCTTGTCTGGATGGGTAGATTTTTTTCTGGCTCGTTCCATTTGCCCTTCCTCCATGGAAGTTTATCACCATAAGTGGTACATTTTCTGCCTTTAGTCTCTGGGTCGAGGGTTTTTTCCCCTGCTCAACCCACTGTTCCTCATATTGTGGATTTCATGACTTAACTTTTAGATAGGAGTTCTTATGTCTCCTCAATCTCAGGTTATCAGGCAGCCTCGTCCCACACCTTTCGTTTTTCCCGATACTCTTTCCTTGTCGATGCGTTCATTCCAGATTTGTTATCTGCTGTGGTGGACTGCCCTTCCAGATTGGTATGTTAATGTGGTCCTTCATTGCCTTACTTTGCCTCTGTTTGAACCACTCTCCACGTGCTCTTTGTCTCACTTTTCCCTTAAGACTTGTTTCCCTTCTCCTCTTAGCCTCTGGACATTGAAGGTTTTATTTATTTGCCATCTGTGTTTCATATACTCTTTATCATTCCACATATCTTCTCCTTTATCCGGATCATTCTATCCTTTCCAAAACTTTGGTGACTCGTGAGGGTAACTCCTCCTTTTTGCCAATTTCCCTTTCTTCCATTTCCCACATTTATCCTCAACCTGATCTGGATAGACTTGTATGTCCTGTAAGTGCTTTTTGCTGTTATATTGCCTGCACAGCTTCCATTCATGGGGCCTGTTCCTGTCTCTTTATTCTTTGGCAGCTGTCCTCTGTTTGTAATCTTTCTCTTTCCACCCTCACCAATTGGGTCTGGCTTTTAATTCAATTGGCCTATTCCTCTTTATTCATCTTCCTCCTATTCTTTGTTCCAGGTGTCTTCTCATCAAATTTGACACCTTACCTTTTCATTGGTGTCTCATTTTCATCATCCCTTGGAGGAAATTCTTCAACTGGGTATGTGGACTACCCCTAATACATTCATCTCTCACTATTTGACCAGGATCGTGGTTTCTTCCTCTTCGGGCTATTGTTTTTTGCCTGTAGCCAGCCATTCAGACTTCAGTGAGACTTTGACTGGGTAAGTTATTTTTTATTACTCTTTATATATTTTCGGGGGCCTTTTCACCCTTTTTATTATTATTCTTTGTTTGGATCCTGCTCTGTGGCAAGTGATGCCTGACTAGGTATTCTTTAACTGTTCAAATCTGCACTGTAAGGCCATGTTGACTTGCACGTCATATTTCCATGGCTAAGCAATGCACACTGCAGAGATGGTGTGTTCCACAAGATCACTTGTAGGTTTATCCTCATGATGGGATTGCTTAATGAATTTCCCCATCCTGGACCATACCCACTCATGGACTACATGGGTAAAGCGGAAAGGGATAGCTGCCCATCCTTGCCATGCCTTATATTGAATAAATTGGTATGGTGTACATGGTCACCCATTGCACTGTCACAGGTGTTGTCTTTCCTCTGGACTCTCCACTGCCTTTCTTCCCTCCCTCGCCCCTTTTCTTCTAGCAGAGTTTGGAATTCCTTACCACTTTCCAGTTCCAAGCCACTGGGATGGTGGCCCATGGAGACATTCTCCTGAATGGGTTAATGAAATACAAACAGAATATAGAAATGATTATAAAACTATTCAGTTGAAAGTAGGACAGTGGTGTTCTGCTGGCATAGATGATATCCTCCATTATGAAACAAAAACAAATGGGAGTGAGCCATCAAAATTGTAGTTCATCCCTTCGATTGGGATCCTTCATTCTACATCCACGTGGCAGCTGGGTTTTGAATTGTAGTTGACTGTGTGATCCTTATCCTACTCTTACGTGGATGTCCATTCCCAGTGCCATGGGTTTTGGATATAGTTGACTTGCCGTGTACGGTTCGTCATACCCTAGCCACTCTACATGTAGGGGCACATCCTTTTCATTTTACCCACTTTATTCATTTCTGGGATTGAGTTTCATAAATCTTGCATGGTTCAGATCACTTTCTGGCCATAGTTCTCTCCGATTTAGATGTGCTTCTCTGTTTTCTGCCCATGTGTGCAACATCTTTCTATGATGGGTGAAGAGTATACCTGGTTCAGAAGTTGTGCGGTTCCCCACATCTGATCTTACAATCAGACTATCTCTTGTTAGGGAGTGTCCTTAGGATGCTTCTTTTTTCCCTCACACCAGTCCCTCCACTTATTCAATGTTTGATTCTAGCTATTTATGTTAGAAGAGGTAAAGTTCCATATCGGAAGTTATAATTTTCCTACACTGAAAATGTATTTCTGATAGGTACTTACTCCCCCCCCCCTCGAAGTGATAGTTTGGTAGAATTGAATAGAGGGAGTCACATGCATTATGAGAGTATGTTGCTTTCTTTTTGGTAGAGGATTGATGCATAATAATGATTTGCATGAGAGACATTGGAATTGGACAATTCCAATGGTTGAAGATTGAAGGCATGTGCCATGCATAAGAAATTTGTTTGCATATAGAGGGCAGCACTGAACAGTAAGTACCTATCAGAAATACACTTTCAGTGTAGGAAAATTATAACTTCAGAACCGTGAATCATAACCTAACTCACACTTTTACAGAAAATGTCTTCCAAAGCCCTGAATCATAACCTAACTCCTACTTTTATAGAACATACCATTCAAAATGCTGAAGCTTGACCTAACCATTCCATAACATAACTAAGAAGGAACTCTGTGTGAATAGTTATACAAGTTATGTGTACACAGGTTGCATCCATAACATCTAGGAAAGGAAGACTAATTGTAGAAAACTATGTGAACGGTACCTAATTGAGTGAGTACATCACTCATTACTAAACAAAGCATGTATATGCCTTGATAATTGTAACAAGACTTTTTACTTCCTATTGGTCAATGGGTGACATAAAAATTTTCAATTGTGTTGCATGGAATTTTGCAAAATACTGTGCTAAGAACAAGGTAGGGACCAGGAGAGTGGTATGCTTTGGACATGACAGATTTATGATGAAGACTTTTAGAATTCAAACATCACCACAGTAGTATTGTCGACTATCACGATTTTTAAATAATAGATGAACAGATGTGGTGAGGCTCCAAAGTTATTTAATGTAACATTCTCAAACTTCCACCTTAACAAGAAACATCATTCAAAACCGTAAGAAAATAATTCGTAGTAGGGATTGCATGGGTTATAAAATTTGGCCGAATACAGGGTCCAGGTAATCCCTTT